AAATTGGGTTGTTAAAAAATGTGTAAAAATTGTATAAAAATATTTTAAATTTAAGACACTAATTTAAAAATATATGAAAATAATTACTCTAATTATGTATTTATTTTACATTATTTATTTATTTTATTTTTTTAATATGAAAACAACTAAAGGGTCGTTTACCAAACACTTATCCGATATGTGCTTATCGGCAAAAATTAACACCATCATTTACTTATCAGATAAGATTTTTAGTCCATCAAAATGGCATCGTATGTAACAATTTACCCGGTAAATACTTACTGTGGTAAGAGTCGTTGCCCTCACTTACCGGGTAAGACTCTTGGTCATTGTTTTGCTCTTAACGGTTAAGATTTTTGGTCCTTACCATATTCATCCGATAATCTCATGTGATTTGGTAAACGCTTACTCAAGTAAGCATTTGTTCAACGGCCGTGAGATATCAATGTATCCTGTTATGCTTGATTAGTAGTAACAAATACATCTTATTACCAACTGCTATACAGATATATGATCTTCAAGTAGACTTTTTTATGTTAAAAATACATCTATTCAATCGTATTTATTTACAACTTTAAAAGTGACATGAATTGATTAAAACTCGAAGAAATTTAGGAGCAAAACTGAAACATTTCTAGTCAATTTATGGCTTCAAAAACACTACGTTTGACTTTCAATAGTCAAACAAGGAGTTTTATGTTACAGTCACTCCAAATTCCCAGCTGATCATCAAACGGTTGCTTTTCATATTCCTAACGCAAACTAATTCAAATTCCCAGCTGATCATCCGACTTTATATCTATATATATATATACAAAGAAACATCCATTGATTAAGTCAAGAAACAAAAATGGCACCCTCAAAGGCTTCATCTAAAACCAAATCAAAAGCAAAAACCATCTTGAAAGAAACAAAGGCTTCATCTACATTAAGTTTAAAGCTTCTCATCCACAAGAAATACCAGAAAGTTCTGTTTGCAGAAGCCAGTAAAGAATTTGTGGATTTCCTTTTCCACAGCCTTTCTCTCCCTGTTGCCACTGTAATCAGACTTCTCAAAAAGAAATCAATGGTGGGTTCCATGGGAAACGTCTACGACAGCATCAAAAACTTGAGTGATACTTATATGCAGCCAAATCAAAGTAAAGAGTGTGTTTTGAACCCCAAGATTGCCAACTATGGGGCTCATGTCCCATTAATATCGCTACCTGACGATGACTATGTCTCCATGGTTAGAAAGTTTTACAAGTGTTATCAGCATTCATATGTAGCTGATGATCCTGCTGTTGTTTGTCCCGAGTGCAAAGCTGTTATGGACACCCAGTTGTCCTACGTGGCTGATGGTGGTGCAGCTAAGTTGACGGCGGAGGGTGGTGGTTTTGTGAAAGGGGTGGTGACATACATGGTTATGGATGATTTGGTGGTGAAGCCCATGTCCACCATATCTAGCATCACCACGTTGAACGAGTTCAAGGTGAAGGACATTGGTGGTCTTGAGGAAAAGGTGGTGTATGTGGATATGAAAGAGGTGTATATATGCTTTCTTGAATTCTACTGTCTTAATCATTCAGAAATGATTCATTCATTGATAAACACTGCTTAATTGCGTTCTTAACTGTATGATGTTTGTAGGGTCTGAAGCTGCTGGAGGCCTCGTTACACAGCAAGAATGTACTTACCAGTGTGTTTCTTGCTTAATACCCGTTGCTGTGCTGCTGAATAAAGATCATGAACCTCTGAAATTGTTTTTGTTCTTTTTTTTTTCTTTTCTGGAATACCGTTTTTAGATTCTTGTTTATGTGTTAATCAAATTTGCAAACAGGTGACACCATCTTCTTCGGATCGTATGAATCATATGTCTGCATCAGATTTATTAATTCACTCAGTTTTTTGGGCTGTTTGGCAAGGGTATTAAACTATAATTAATAGAAAAAAAAATAAAAAAAAAATGCTTGATTGTATATAATATAATATGTTAAATAAATTTTCATTTCAAATTAAATTGGAAACTCCCATTTGTCATAAACACCGCCTTGGTTGATAGTTTCGAACTCTAACAATTGGCTATCAAAGATTTGTCAATGAATATATGTATTTATTCATCAATTATTTTGAATTAGGGGTTGTTTACCCAATAAGTGCTTATCTATAGAAGTCAATATTATAATTTATTTTGATGAGTAAGATAATAGTTCATCAAAACGTATTGAATGCAATAATTTACTGGGTAAACTTTTAGGTAAGAGTCGTAATCTTCACTTAACGGGTAAGACTCTCCATCATTTTCATCGATCTTACCCGGTAAGATTCTTGGCCCTTGTTATGTTCATCCGCTGAAAAAATTTATTTAGTAAGCACTTACCAAGTAAGCATTTAGTAAACGGTCCCTAATTTCATAACTTAAAAATTGGAGTAAAATATGGATTTTGTATTTGTGCTTATGGGTTTTTTGGTTACTAGAGATTCAAGAATATCAATGAGTATATATAACAAATTTATGCAAATTTATTCAGAAAAAATTGTGATACAAATTTATGCCATCACCTCTGCATTTTCTAATACGATATGTATTTTTAATTTCATTTGTATCGTTTTTAGACCCATTTCCATCTAATTTCGATTTTGAGTTAGTGTTTTTGAATTTGTTAATACATCATGTGATTTTAGGGTTTTTGGTTTTGATTTTGATGTATAGGTTGTGAGTTTGATTTGAAGTTGGTTTTTAATTTAAACTACCTGAGCTTTGTACATTTGACGATAACGAATCTAGGTTGTTTTGTAGTTTGATTATTTATTAGTTTTGTTTATATAATGGGCATGAAGAACAACATAAGAAATTAGGGTAAAAAGTAAAGGGGGTTAGGGTTCTATTCATCTTCATCTTCATCTAGTTCTTGCATTTGGTCATCTTCATTTGAGTTATGTATATAACCTTAAATAATATTTTAATTAAATCCATGGATTCTGCTTTTCTTTTTGCTTTTTTTTTTTAAAGGTTTTGAGTCCATTAAAGATTGAACCTTGTGTCTCTTTCAATTTTGTAACTCAAAATTTTTTTTTATCTGTTTCTCAGAGGCATTATATGTCGATGAATTGGAGAATTTGCTTGATGATTTTATGCTCTCCCTTAATACTGAAATTGATGATGGTAGCATTGAGGAGGTAAGCATTTTTTTATTAACCTGGATATCCAACCCGTTATGCGAGTCGACTAATCCCATGATGACCACCTGCTTTGTAGATAACCCGAAGTCATCGCATTTGAACCTCCGTGGCTACAAGGGAATTTTTATTTCTCATTGGATTTGAACATGGGACCTCCAGGTACTTTTGACCTTTGGAGCCAAGCTCAAACTAACGAAGCACCACCCTTATGTTTTTATATGATTGTTTTTTCGGTCCATGGTAATAAGAGCATCTCAACAAATTATTCAAAATAGATATTTTAAGACTTTAGGACTCAAACAATTTTATTTCAATAACTTATTCAAAACTCTTCAAAATAGAAAAAAATAGGATCATTAAATTTTTTCTATAAAATGGCAAAAATAGAAGAGAAAAAAATAAATGTTATTACAAAAATTTGAAGAACTTAAAAAGAGAGAAATTATTTTTATTATCTATACTATATTATAAAGCATTTGACAAAAATTCTTAAAAAACATTATTTATGCGTAAAGTATTGTTTATTAATGCATATTATTTAAAACTCAAGATTGCAAGTAGATTGTGCGTAAGTACAACTTATTAAAGCTTCATATCTGAATTTGTATAACTAACTGCAGATAAACATAATCAGATACATGATAAACATCTHATTTTAAATATAAAAAATCTAAAATATAATTAGGATAATCATTGAGTT